TCCTTCTTCCTTTTGCCAGAAGCTTCTGACCCCATCAGTTGGGCTGAATGCCAAATAAATTCTACATGTGGCTGGTCTCTAAATAAGAAGTAAATTTCTGTCAAGGGTATAGAATGAGAATCCTTATTTGTTTGAAATCAAGTACTGGGTATGCTTCCAATGCAAAATTAATGACCCTAATTTAAACCATGAGGAAATGGGAAAGGATATGTTGGAGTTGGAGGTAGACAGCTGGAGAAGAAATACGGTAATGAAAGCAGTTATGAAACAAAAACTGAAGCAATCACAATCACTTCTCCAAATGTGGAAGCCTGAAATACTTCAGGATACAAGTCCACTAATTACAAATCTAGCAAATATGCCTATACAGCTTTACCTCTGTGCTGGCAGGAAATAGGAAAATAGATCATCAAGAAACCTAGTTCTTATTCTTCTGGGCTTCCTAATGTATCAGCAGTTTAAGTGTTGGTATTTTGATCACTCAGTTCTGGAAGAGTTGTTTGGCTATTCTCTTACAGACCAGAAATAACTTAAAGCTTTCTTAGTTCATTGTCCATCTGTCCACAATGCCTTGTGCTATACTGTCTCTGAGGACTCGCTGTAAAAAGTGAATGCTTTTTACTGTAAGATACAAGACTGACATATTTAGATCAGAGAATTTATAAATAAAAAAATACGTAATCAGCATAAAATCCCTTTGAGTACATGTTTTTCTTGAGATAACACAAAGTTTAAGTGGGCTCTTGAAGGCTAAATTCCTGAAGCATCATTCTTCAACCCATCAATAATAATTACAGCCCTGCATATCAATCTGTAATCTCTCCTACAATTTCTTTATATAGGTAACTGTAGTAAACAAGAAGATCAAAGTGCTTTATATCTGCTGAGTTAGATAAAATTGCTGATTTTAGAGCAATGCAATTTTATTATTGTTTAGCCTCTGTGTGAGTTTGAAAAGGTACATGCTGGACTAAACCAAACTACTGCTAAATGATTAGGATGGTTTGACCTAAGCTAAACTCTGTGGTTTTTTTACCTAAACAAAATACATGCAAGTACGATAGTGCACACCATAACTTTCAACAGTCACATTACGCTCAGATGAAAAGAGAATTTGGGGGTGAAAGCAACAGAAATTTTGTTTTTACCAAATCCAAATATATAATACCTGCCCTTAGGTTTAGTTCATGTAACTTAGGGGTATTATACCAGCAACTAAAAAAAAAAGAAAAAATAATGCAGCACTTCTCTCTAAGGTAAATGATCTGCTTTAAGAAAAAGTAATTTCCTTGTAACTGCATTCTAAGCCTTACATTGATTTGCTTTGCACAGCATCCAACTGCAACATTTAATAAATAATGCAATCACAAAATTGCGTATACTGATAAATGAAAAAACTGATCACCTGACTAAAAATCAGTATTCAAACACAGAAGGAGTGATAGGATAGAAGCTGGACACCCCCTCTCATGAGTTTTCTCAAGATGTTTCTTTAGTTTAATAATTACTGATGAATGTCTTATATTCTATGTAGTCTAAGAATTAGCC